AATCCAAACATGATTGTAAATTTCAGTTGCCAGAGTGAAGTAAAACAAACAGGAAAATTAATAACTCCAGCTCTAATTGTAACAATGGGCCTGGGCCTGGGGCAGTGTCCGGTCAGATTTGCTGACCGTTTTAAAAGTAAACGGCAGGTATAAGGCCAGGAATTAGTTAGCCTAAGCGCGGCCATTTTATTATTTCTCTTTCACTTCTCTCTGTGTCTTCACTCTGTCCTTGCCTACCCTGTTCTAGCAACACCCAACACGGGCCCTTAACCCCAGACCAGGAGTGGAAGTTCCGGTGTTTGAACAGGGCTCCCAGAAACCAATTCCACAACCCTTGGTGGGCGGCAGGGAGATGGAGGGGCAGGGCCAGGCAGACAGGCCTGCAGGGCTGCCGGACTAAGGAGGGCCTGGACTTAGACTGCACGTTAAGACTGAGAGCACCTGGGGAGCTTCGGGGGTGTTTATAAGGTGTTCTCTGAGCCTCCTGGATCTGGAGTTTGGTGTCTTCATACGTTGGAGAGTCTCGTCTCGTCACCGTTGTCCAGGCGCACTTTCAGTGGCCCTTGGAGTCTTGTGCGAGAGAGAGTCTCACGCACAACCCCAGCAGTACTGCATCTCTGTGGTCTGGGCCTAGGATGGTGTCCCCCCCGCCCCCAGGGCACAGAGGGTGGGTTGTCTTCCTTCCTCTCAGCTGCAGTGGGCCTCCTTCTTTGTGTCCTCTGGGGAAGGCAGGCCTGTGTCTCTCCAGTAGCAGCTGCCCCTCCCTGGCCTCTACCTGCAGGAAGTCCTGTCGGCCGGCACACCACATGGGGTGTGTGCTGATTTCTGTGGATTCCATAGGGCCCCTCTGGCTGTGCTGCCCCGGGGGCTCTGTCACCTCAGCTCCCTGTGCACTTAGGAAGGATGCTCTTCCCAGTTTCCTGCGTCCCAAGTAGGGGCTGGGAGTCCCAGGAGCTTTATGATGTAAGGAGAGCATTCGTGACCTTTACCACCAGCCCAAATAGGCATTTCAAACACTCTGGAGAGGAGCAGGAGCCAGCAGTCTATATTTTTAACCAATGTCCCACACAGGACGCCTGGCCCTGGCATGCAGTCTGCTGCAGTGAGGGTTGTGGTTGCCGCCTCCGTAGCACCATCCGCGGGTCCCCAGGGAGGCCGCGGGTGCAAGTCTGAGCTTCCGTGGATCACACGTGCGCTGGTGCGGTTGCAGTGAGACCGCATTACTCGTTGCTCCTCACAGGAGAGCATGGCAGCCCCAGGGGTGGTTTCCCATCACTGGGAAATGCGTCTCACTGGCTCTTCAGTTTCCTGAAGGAGATCTCAGTTGGGGAGGGGGGGTGCAGGGAGGCACTAATTTTAGCTGTTTTTCCAAAGCGCTGCCTGGACCTGCCCCTCCCAGTGAGCTCCTGCCTGTGTCCCCATATGTGGGCACTTATGCGCTCACACTTTCACACAGTCACTCACACTCCTCTCCCCCTGCCTCCCACCCCTCCTTCGACCCTGGCCCCTTCTGGTGCCCCCCCCCACCATGTGCCTTCAGGACCTTGAACATGGGGGCCCTTGGCCTGGGGCTTGCTTTTTTGTG